ATAAAAAACCAAAAAAAAACCCCCCCTTCCATGACATTGGGAAGAAAAAAAAAAAAAAAAAAAAAAAAAATATATATATATATATATATAATATTGGTATAACTCACTGTATTGACATTTTGAATTTTTTTACTAATGACTCAAAAATGTCGATATAACCAGAGTGATGTGTAATCAATCATTTGACAATTGCAAACTATAAAATAACCAATCGTATAGAGTTTATATTATGATTACTTTAGAACTTGTAATTGTCAAATGAATGACTCTGGAGAGGGCTATATTTACATAATAAGTGGAAGTTCCCCAACCAAAAATTCCAAATCACCAAATTTTATTAATCAAATTGTAGACCACGTATTAAGTAAAACTACAGATAATAATTTTGCTATAGTCGAGTTGGCTGGTATGCCCGAAAATCACAAATTTTACTAATGAACCCGCTAACCGATATACTAAGTAAAGTTGCTCGGATCGTAATTTGCTATCGCTATACTATTAGTTAGCTTGTATTAGTGCTTCGCAGGTCCGATCCGAGGTCCGAATCTGAATCGTCGGATCGAATTCCGGAAGCTCGGGTTACACGAAATGGTAAAATTATTTGGACCTACTAGTGATGTAGATTACTACGTATATATAATAGAATTTTAATTTAATTGGTCAATTGCCTGGATAACGAGAACTTAGCTATTGCTTTATTTAGTAATAAAATAAGCAATAACAATTGTTAGTTTTCGGATCATATTGGAAGTATCAAGAGTCTAGGGCATCCAAATGTTTGCCCTAGTTGACGGAATTTAGAATCATTCAGATTAATCCAATCTGAAATTGTCGAGATTATTTTACCCAAAATATAAACTAAATTGTAACGGTTAACAAGCATTCACTATTGCTTTTAGTGCTTCTACCACATTACCCTTGTTTTCTCTTAAATATTTATCAGCTATAGCCTTTGTTACATCCATTTCATTTACCTAATTAATAACATATCCCGTGATTATGGAATAAGCACATTACGATTGATCAGAGTTTCAAAAGGCGATCATAAAATGGAGCGAAACTACGGACACAACATTCACATGCCTACGGGTACAATGATGACTGACATTACCAAAATCCATTTATCCAACTTTATGCTGGCCATTGTTGTGTCTTAAACACGTGAAATGTTGTGTCTGTAATTTTGCCTCAAAATGGAACTTACAATGAGTTCAATATCTTCCTTTGATACTGTGATTTTTTCTGCATCTTTTTGTCTATGGAATGTTATTGGTTTATTGTAATTTTATTTTGGATTGATGTGAATAAAAAAAAAATTAAAATGATTAGTAACTGTTTACCCTTGATCATATAAACAAAATACAAATTAATAAAATACGTAAATTTACTTGTTAAGTTTTTGAGCATTACGCTTTTGCTTCTCTTCATTTACAAATGTCATGGCCTGAAATAATAATAATAAATAAGTATATAAACTGTTAATGACTTATTAAGGAGAAAGAGAACAAGTGGTTTTATCAAATGTTTTTTTTTGCTCTAATAAAACAATTCGAATTGTCTCTGAAATTAGAATTGTCTCTGAAATTAATTGCTTTATAAATTAATAGTAAATCATATTCACTACCTAATTATCCGAATTCAATGGAAATTTTTTTAAAAAAAATATTCAACTAGACCACTAGATCTCGAGATTATTTGAATTCATTTTCTCGTAATTAACCAATATCTCCCGATCCATGTTTCTCATTAACAGTTAAAAAAAAAAAAAAAAAAAGGTGAAAAAGATTAATCCAATTACCTTATCTAGTTTAGCTTCATCGATAACCTCACCGTCTCGTTCAGCCACGTATCCCTCAACATTCTGCATATCTTTCTTCGCTTGTCCTTTAAATCCCTTTTGTTCTTTTTGCTCTTCTTGTGCATTATCTTGTTCAATATCATTGCTTTGTTGCGGATCCTTGTTGTGATCGGTGCTTTTTGCATGCTGCGAACGAGTATGGTGAGAATTATTATGAGATTGATGAGTAGCGTCAGTTGTTGAAGTGGTAGCATTGGCCATAGAAGTTGGATTGGAAGATTGCTCTGCCGATAGTGATGTTGGTGATATTGGATCATTTGCAGTATTTGACGATTTGTCAGATTTTTGATTTCTTTGTTTCTTTTTACCCATTTTGTGTTAATAACGATAACGATAATAGTATCGATCTAAAATACATTTTTGTTTCGATCACGTGAAAATACTTTACATAATCATAAGAATTTCAGAACAGGGGGAACCGTCCAATGTTACACGAATCACACTGTGATCGACATTGCACATATCATGTTGACCGATTTTCCAC